CTGATGTCTGGCAACGTTTAAAGCCTCAGTATGAGTGTTAATCAAATAAATTTTAGTCTTTTCAGGAGCCATTTGAAGGGTGGGTAAGACCTTGGCCCATAGTTGTCTTTGATAGGCCCCTAAGGCGGCCTGGTGATTTGAAACGTGCAATAGAAAGGATGCAAAGGAGTACATTCGCCGTCCTAAGACATCTAGCTTTCTACCCTCACGGTTCAGAGGTGTTACTTTAGCTTTGGCACCAGTTTTGAAAATGTTTGTCTGGACTATAATCGAATTGAGAGCTGGATGTTTAGATAAGAATAAGGTGTCATTGCCATGTGCTCTGTAATGTCCCTCCATCTTTCTAGAGATTTGCATAGCGTTAGTGGGTAAGCTCCAAGTGTCCTTAATGATTTCCATGATGGCAGGAATAAACGCTAAGCTAAGAGGATGGAATTTGCCTTGGTCAATATCTCCAAATACAAGGTCATGTGTAGGAGGTGGTGGCTGTTCCACGTCAAGCTGAAGCGATTTGGCCATGCGAGTGATCATCTGAGAGTAGGATGTAAAGTCCTGAGAAGGGGAGGGTGGGCGCAAATCTCCCACATCTGAATCAGGTGTATTTATGTTTGGGGGTGCTTCTTCAGAAGCATCTGACAAAGGTTCCTCATCCTGGTCAGAATTGGAGGACTCAGAGGTTTCTCTTACTGGCGAGATGGGTGGTGAGGGCGATAGATGGCGTCTCTTTGAAGACCCAGAAGTTTCTTACAGTGAGTGTTGGGTCTGAGATACAGTACTGTCAGGAGGACTGAACAGTAGGTTTGTCAGTAGGTGCAGGTTTCTTTGACACCAAGGGTGTACCGGAAGTTTGGTGTCGAACAGAAGATTGATGTTGAGAAGCCTTAGGCATTGAGTCTTCGATGTCATAGTCATGTCGATGTTGATGCCTCAGTGGCGAAGGTGACACAGAAGAAGAGGCATAAACATATTTAACCTTTTTACATTTATTAAGATCTTTGATTTCGTATTCGGTGTCAGAGTCATCATGATCCAGACAGCACTTAGATTTTCTTTCAACCTCGATGTATATGGGTTCATCGTCTTCGGAGGAGGCTCGGTGTCAAGACCTTCAAGGCAGAACAATGACCTCTCAGTGTGATGTTCGACGCCGAGAGGAAGAAACGTGCTTCCTTTTAGTAGTCTTTTTCCTGGGGGAGGCTTGAGGCACAGATTCTTCTGAACTGGACCATCTCACAATGAATGCCCGCCCGGTTGAGACAGGGCTTCAATGGGCAGAATCATGGCTGGATACATTATCAACCTGAGTGTGGTCTGGAGACTGGGGCAGGCTTGGTATTGACGTTGAAGCCTGCATTGCATGGTGTCGAGTGGAGAGCTCTCCCTTGGAGGCATAATCATGACCAGGCAAATCCCCAGGCATTTCCTCTACTATAGGACAAGGCACAGACGCTGAGACCGGGGGAATATCCCGAAGTCTGTCTTTAGAAGGATTTGATTATCCTTTTTCCTCTTATTGAATTTATCAGTCAAAGTTTTCTTTTTTAGGTTGTCAGCAGAAGAGTGCTTAGAAGAAAAACTGAAGGTTTTTTCACAGCCTTTTTAGAGGATTTTGTCGGAGGAGAGCTTGAAAGTAAGGAAGGTAAGGAGAGCTTGAAAGTAAGGAAGGTAAGGACGGGGTGCCAGAGTCCTGATGCGGCCATAAACCAGAGAACCAAGGGTATGAGGGGTGAAAAGACTTATGAACAAATCCAAATCAGCACTTCAAAGGGAACAACGACAGTCAGTCCAAAGTCTTTAGGGAAGAAATCCATCCGCGTAGAAAAAGGGCGGGAAGCTAATAAACAGTCCGGAAGGGAGCAGGCAAGCCAAGGTGAAACAGTCCGAGGTCAAACCAAATAGCCACAAATAAACCGAAGCAACGTACAAAGTCATAGAGATAATCAAAGTCAAAACAATCCAAAGTCTAGCCAATTTACACAAGAAAGAAGTGAGCTCTAGAGGAGGTTCCAAACACGACGGTGGCAAAAATGGAACTGAGGCTGTAGGCGGGCAGAGCATGTATATTAGGGGGAACGTACTACTATGTTTCTCTCTTTCAGCTCTAGAATATTCCAAAGATCCAGCGCAAGCACAGTTTATACCCAGTTGTGTGGATTCACAGAGGCCACATAGAAGAATAAAAAGTTTCTTTTTCTTCATTTCCAGTCTGGAAGTGCTAGTACTGAAGGAATCAAATGAACATTTTGAGAGTAAATTGATTATCCTGAATTATTTTTTGTCAACAGCAGAATTGCACTGGATGATCACTTGCATCTTGAGGTTGTCAAACTCAGAACACCTTCTGTTGTCTATCAGCATGTTCTTGAATTTGAAGAAACTCTGACATCACAAGAGGTTATAGGAACAAATGTGAAAATAGCCAACTCATACGCAGAAAATTCTGTCTCAAAGTCATCAAATTTTGCTTCAAATGTATTTAGAATGATAGTGTTTGATGATCCAGATTAGACTGCAGCACTCTTTGCAATTTATTAATAATTTTTTCAGCCACTTTTCTCTTTGCTCACTTTAAATCCCTCTCAGCTTGCTTCACAATGTTCAGCTCCATTCCTACAGTTTCAAGGCAGGTGACTGCTCTTGATAACCCACTGAAGTTAGAGTTTATATATGCCAAGTTTCCAGCCAAGGTTTCAGAAAAGGAATTTTGGACAATCTTGATGGAGGAAGATGCACAACAGTCAGGTTTTTAACTATCTGCTACAAGGAATCATAATTTGTTGAATAATACATAACCACATCTAGCCAAGTCCCCCAATACATCACAACAGATTGGGTAGGGAGAGGAAAAGTAGGATCAATTTCTTTGAATTTTTGTACTCAAAATGCAATTTTAACTAACAATTTTTTTCCTATCTGAAATCATCTTATCTACATCAGAATAGTTGCTTCCAATCTCTTTGGCCATTCTGTGTAAACCATGTGCAAGGCATGTGATATCTTGTAGATCATTTTTTGATAAAGAGGTTTAAGTCCCTTGGCTGCCTTAAACATGTATGGAGGAGCATCTGTTACAACGAGGATGGCATTTCCCCTTTTTTACACCATCCAGCCAAAGTAGTTCCATAGAACCATTGAAGAGCATAGCAATAGTGGAATTGTTCAATTTTTGTAGAGCTTCTCATGTTAGAAAAAAATACTACACCAGGCTTGTCACACTTTAAAGTGCCAAGAACATCATCAATTACATATTTTTCCATTTATATCATTTGTTTCATTTACTGAAATGACACACCTTTCCCCCAGCTAGGAGGGACGTGGTGGTGCTGCGGGTTAAACCGCAGAAGCCTCTGGGCTGCAAGGTCAGAAGACCAGCAGCTGTAACATCGCAGCCACGGAGTGAGCTCCCATCGCTTGTCCCAGCTCCTGCAAACCTAGCAGTTCAAAAGCATGTAAAAATACAAGTAGATAAATAGGTGCCACCTTGGTGGGAAGGTAACAGCGTTCCGTGTCTAGTCGCGCTGGCCACGTGACCACGGAAACTGTCTACGGACAAACACTGGCTCTATGACTTGGCGGTGGGGGTGAGCATCGCGCCCTAGAGTCAGACATGACTGGACTAAATATCAAGGGGAACCTTTACCTTTCCCCCAGCTGCCGCAGATGAGTCAGGCAGCCTCATGACTATCTGTCTCCCTCACGTCATTTGCTGGCTCATCAGGAGGGTTGCTAATGACCAAAATATTACCAAAATATAAACTTTATTACAGAAATATGACATAACACTTTAAGAAGGTCAAAATATGACTTTCTAGACAAAATAAAACCAACATAATCTTTGCCAGATTACATAAACATGTTGAAACCTACTTATAAGTTCATATACCATATATGTTGCAGAAAAAAAGTCAGAAATCTTCTCCCTATTTATGATTATAAACATGTCTTGTTTTGGTGTGTGATCAATTTTCTCTTGAGTCCTTGAATAAAAACTTATGATTTCTTCAGCAACTGTAGTGGAAGCATAGACTTTAATAATGGTTATATTGATAGGTTTTCCATAAAGTTTGATTGATATTTTCAATCAGATATTGCATAATATCTCCTAACTGCCTGTGCAACGTCTTGCTTCTGTATTAGAACCACTCCATTTCCTCTGATTTTGTCATTTCCTGAATAAAACACTTTGTCATTGTCTGATTGGAAATGTCCCACTCCAGTCCACTTTATTTCACTCACACTAAACACTGAAATGTTTAAATGTTCCTTTTCGTGCTTTATGGTTTTCAGTTTACCTTGATTCACACATGTTCCAAATGTATGTCATGCAGCTGGAGTATACCACATTGATATAATAATTGTGTGCTGTTAATTGATTTATCCTGACTTTCAGGATTTTCTAGGCAGAGAATATTCAGAAATGGTTTATTCCCTGCATCTGGAAATTTCCTGGAACTGTGCAGCTTGTACAAGGCCACACAGGCTGGCTCTTTTGGGATGCACAATGGAGAACTGAACTCCATATGCATACCGAATTTTGAAAAGAATTTGAGAATTAAGGTTTTTGGTCCCTTTCTTACAGTTAGCAAATAAGTGATGTTGTATGCTCTGGTCCTGTAATTATTTATTTGGAAAACAGCAACATTTGAAAGGAACTGTGCAGCTTGTACAAGACCACACAGGCTGGCTCTTCTGGGATGCACAATGGAGAACTGAACTCCATATGCATACCGAATTTTGAAAAGAATTTGAGAATTAAGGTTTTTGGTCCCTTTCTTACAGTTAGCAAATAAGTGATGTTGTATGCTCTGGTCCTGTAATTATTTATTTGGAAAACAGCAACATTTGAAAAATCTTACTATTGAATTAACAGAAATATAAATGGAATACAAATCTTTGAGACACGTCCTGAAAAATGAAGTGTAGATCCCAAGTGTTGCACTGTAAGTATATATAGTAGTATCAATACTATGTGAAAAATCTCAGTTGATCAGGGTACTCACGAGATGTTTTTGAAGCAAGTAAAGTGACTTTAGACCCAGCTAATAACTGAAATCCTAAGGCATTTAGTTGATCTTCATCAGTCTGATCAGCAAAGTCTACAAGAGAGAAAAGACATAAACTACACAGTTTGTCTACCCTGCTAACAAACTTTGCAACCATAGCTCTATTATCATTTGAAGATTGCCCCATACTATACAGCAATATAGAAAGGGGCTGTCCCTATATACTGATTCTTACAACTATGAACTGGATCCAGACTTTGTCATGGTTAAGATACTCCTACTGAAAATTAATGCACACAAGTTATTTATTATTTCAATACATCTACTCTAAGCACTGCTAACAAACTTTGCAACCATAGCTCTATTATCATTTGAAGATTGCCCCATACTATACAGCAATATAGAAAGGGGCTGTCCCTATATACTGATTCTTACAACTATGAACTGGATCCAGACTTTGTCATGGTTAAGATACTCCTACTGAAAATTAATGCACACAAGTTATTTATTATTTCAATACATCTACTCTAAGCAGGACTATTGAAAATTAATGCACACAAGTTATTATTTCAATACATCTACTCTAAGCAGGACTAAGTCTGGACTGAACTGTGCACCACTGCATGTCCCTGGATACTCTGTAATATTCACTATCAGACATCCATATGCATGTTCATTTTATACCTATATGGCACTGGCTATAAAGGTCTTCTAAACTTACTCAATTCAATGGATTAGATTTTAAGACTCCAATATTTATTTTATTTTAATTTTTTATTCATTCATTCATTCATTCATTCAAATTGTATACCACACAACTTAGTGCAAAGCACTACTTGGGCCAGTTAACAACGGACATGATGATATATCGTCACACCCACACCTACAAATTCCTAACAGTACAATTAATTTTTTAAAAAAGACACCCACACAAGAATTAAATTATAAAACCTAAAGACAACAATAAAAGCAACTAGTGATAGTGGTCGCATGAAGTACAGCTGCATCCTGCTGATACCTCAAGGAAAAATATCTTTGAATCCTTCCTTAAACAACTCAGTCTTTAGCAACCTCTTAAAAGAGCAAAAGGACAGGGCTTGATGCATGTACAGGGGAGAACTATGCCATAAGAAAGGGCACACTGCTGAGGAGGCTCAACTCCTTTCAATCAATTCTAGGAGTGTACCTTATCTAATTGTTCCTTACAAAAGCTTATTGTTTTATCTCTTGTGTACCTTGAATCTATTTGCGTTTTTGTCCACCAATCAACTACTATCTCTTGTTCTTCTAATTCTTTCCTTGATTTCATACTTAAGTCCACTTTTAACAAATCTCTGTATCTTAAGAGTTTCTTCTTTTCCATTAATGATGGTTGTGAGAATTGGACTTAGTTTTACTATCTGTTTCCCCCTCTCTTTTCTTAGTGCCTCTAGTCTGGATCTTTGATTTGGTTTCTATTTCTTCCTCCTCCTCTTGTATTTCTGAATCTGTTTCTTCTGGTTCTGACTCCTCCGTTTCAGAACTTCCCCCTTTTTCCTCTCCCCCTCCTCTAGCTGTTTCTCTTTCTTCTCTTTTCTTTCCAGTTCTTTCCCTCTATTCTCTAAAAATTCCCCTGCTTGCTTTGAGGAGTTTATTAAGTATCTTTGGGTCTGCAATTGGAAAGTAAGTCCTACTTGAGTTAGCCACCTATATTTTATCGCATTTTGTCTAAAATAGCTTGTCAGGTGTTCATTTTTTCTGCTTTGTTGTATTTTCCACGGAATGTGCTTCAAGCCATTAAATTCTTTTCCTTTTTTCTCCAATTTCTTTCCTTGAGTAGATTTCAAAATTGTATTTCTTTTGTTTGTTTGTTTGTTTTTAACAACTAGGGATAAGGTAAAGCGTACAGAAGGTAGAGGGGGATATGGGGGGGAAAGAGGGGGAAGGACAACATAAAATGTACTGTCATCCAATCTGTTTGTTCATGTTGTGATATCAAGTCGACTTTTCATTATCATTATCTTTCACTATCATTATCTAAAGTAAGGAACGATTTGTTAGTGTAGGATAGATTGATCGTTTCTCAGAAAGATACCTGCCAGTCACTCGAAGGTAGAGGGGGATATGGGGAGGAAAGAGGGGGAAGGACAACATAAAATGTACTGTCATCCAATCTGTTTGTTCATGTTGTGATATCAAGTCGACTTTTCATTATCATTATCTTTCACTATCATTATCTAAAGTAAGGAACGATTTGTTAGTGTAGGATAGATTGATCGTTTCTCAGAAAGATACCTGCCAGTCACTCTTACTAGAGGCAACATGCGAGGTTGCAAAACCTCCAACAGTGCATGGACATTGTAAAGGAAATTATGAAGATATAGTAATATCCTGCTTAACACTGTGCTGTTTATCACTGTTTAATGAAAACACACTTTTCACCATGCTCTCAGAAAACCAATCACTCAGTTGTTCTTTGGCTGGGACAAAGTGCCCCCCCTCTGGTTCTTTCTATTAACTCAGCTCCCTTTCACACACACTGTGCCAAACAGAAATACATATTTTTAAAATTTATTTAACATATGCCGTCCACACATACACAAGTGCATGCACAAGCAGGCAGGCAAATAAGCAGTCCGTCAAAAGCTTTCCCACAGCTCTCCTCACTCACTGGTGCCCCCCACAGTGAAGGTGGCAAAGGCACCAAGTGCGCATGTGCAGGCAAGCACTCAGTCAATTTGTCGGGAGCTCTCTCATAGTCACTCCTCACTTGCTGGCCCTCCCCATGTGGTGAAGGTGGCACAAGCATTGAGTGCATGGGATGCCGTGGCGGCTGCTTTGCCTTTTCTATTTTCTTTCCCTTTTGCCCCCTTTTCCCTTGCACACACAATACACACTTCCTCTTTCACATTTCTTATTCTAATCTCCCCTCTGTGACACCCGTTCCCCGGGTCGTGAGGTGATGTTAGGAGTGCCGTCTCGCCCTAGAGCCTCCGTGGGCTGTTCAAATGCGTCTGCGGCTTTATTTGGGATGGGGGAGGCGAAGAATAGCGGACCCTCACACCCTCCCCCACCTATTCTCTCCCCCTTCCTCCTCCAGTGCCACAGACTTGGAACTGGCTCGAACTTTCATTTTCACCAGTCCAATAAACTACAGTGTTATAGTTACCCCCAATTACTGCTATTTAAGTTCAAGCTCCACATTCTACAAACCTATCCTAAGTGTCAACTAGAATATTTCCATTTTCAAAATATAAGCTTTCAGTCTGGCAACAACAAAAAGCCCTAAGAAATATTTAATACAATTCTAATGAAATTCATTGAATTCTTGCCTGGAAAAAGAGCAACAAGGCTGACTGGAGGCTTGTTGGTATCAACAGTTAGCTTCTGGCTTGCTGTTTTTGAAGGTTGAGTTGGAAAGCAAACTAACTGTAAGGGTAGTCGAAATCTGCATTGGGAAATTCTTGGTGCACCTGAAAGAGAATGTATATAATAGTATATATTATTAATGTAAATACACTGTAATTTAGATATAAATTACACCCAAATACACCAAACTGTCAGTTAGTCGGGAGCCGTTACATACTGCAGAACTGCAGGAGAGAAGAGATATAGAACTATCCCATAACCACTGCAGACAAATCAGCTGCCAGTTATCACCTAACTAGCAGCTGATTCATCAGTGATAAACTGATTCCACCATAGACGGCAATGATGAAAACTATCTGACACCTGAACTTATTTTTTGTTTTCCTTCTCCTCAACTTCATCTTTTTTGCCTTGCACAGCATATCTTTAAAATTATAATCCTGCTGACAGTAACTATCGTCCAAACTGGTATTTTAAATGCACTTTTGGTTCTATTTCAATCAGGCTGAAAAGTCACAGAGGGGCTTCGGGCTGTCCTGATTCCCACCCATTCCTAAACTCCTAAGGAAACTAGAAGATCACTTCCTGCTTTTCAAAAATTCGTTTTTGGTGCTGAACAAGATGTGGTGGCAGGAAAGAAATGATTCCCCTTTTTTTAAAGAAAAAAAATAAAAAGGGGGATTTTGAAGGGGCCCATCCCTGATTCAGATAGAGAACTAGATGCAGGAAGAACTTTAAGTAAATAAATATACTGTATATGCAACAGTTTCACTCCAAAAATCCAGACATTAAAACAATTTCTCTCTAAAGAAGGAATATTGTAACATAAAGCATATTCAAAAATTAGTTACATTGTGACATAATGTATATTAAAATATTTGTGCTGTGGCCACAAAATATAAAGGAATAACTTACACATAAGGAGAAAATGTGGCATTCTAGCCCAAGGAGGCACTGACTTTTCCACCAATTTTATACTAACTGGGTCACACATTCCTCAGGCTGTTGCAGGCATCCCTTAGGCACCTTTTCACACCTTGTTATGCCTAAAATCCTAGCCACTACTCCTTAGTACAAGAACAAACATCCACCAAACCTTCTTCCAGGTATTTTGGGGCTGTTCCTTTTACACTGCCCCAGCCAGAGCTTCTTTCAGTGCAAGCTGGTTATTCTAGATCAGAGGTCGCCAACCCCCGATCCACGGGCCAGTGCCAATCCGCGACCTGAGCTAGACCGGGCCACGGAGACAGACCTTCCCCCCCCAACCCCCGATCCACGGGCCAGTGCCAGTCCGTGACCTGAGCCAGACCGGGCCACGGAGACAGACCTTCCCCCATCCCTGCACACACTCCCCCACCCCTTCACACATGTGCACGAGTGTCCCAGAGTGCCACGCTGCCCTTCACGCATGCATATAAGCATGCGTGCCTGCATGAGCACCCTCCCACTCCTTTGCGCAGGCGCACGAGCATCCTCCTATTTCTTTGTGCATGTGCACAAGCGTGGGGGGATGCCCCATCTTCCCCAGCTGGTCCACAGGGTAAAAAGGTTGGGCACCACTGTTCTAGATAATGCAGATATTCTGTGTTCTAGCAGTAAAGCGTAAGTTCATACAACATGGGTGAACTTTCCTTTGTTGGAAGTCTGGGTTCCCCATTCTTAGTTTCAAATAAAACAAATAATGAGGAAAGACTGGTTCAAACAATCAAACAGCATTTTAATTTAGGGACTCTAGGTAGCATGGACACCCAGTGTGATGCAGTGGGTAGAGTGATAGACTAGGACTCCGGATACCAGTGTTCAAATCCCCACTTGGCCATAAAAACTCACTTGGGAGAGTGGAACTCGTAAGAGCACTCCTTAAATATCTTCTCTAAAGAAGAAAAGAAACATTATAACATAAAGCATATTCAAATATCAGTTATGTGGCCGCAAAATATAAAGGAATCATTCACAAGCCAGGAGTGGGGATCATGTGGCTGTGATTCCATGTGGCTACAGATTCTAACTCCCACAAACTTCAGTCAGTGTGATCAATGGTCAGAAACGATAGAAGATGTAGTTCAGTAACAATATTTTACATCTAGTGATTTTTATTTGTGTTTCTTAGCTCTTATTAGTAAACTGCTTTCTGCTTTCCCAAAGAACACGATCACCAAAGTAGATGTCTTCAAATAAACCCCTTTCCCTTTCTTTTATATAAAGGAGTGAATGGCAGCTTCACACTCAATAATCCATTTGGTCTCCACTGTAGACAGCCTACAGCAGCTACCCTAATGCACTATTAAACCTCTGCAAACTAAAACGATAGGGGTTAACAATTTATCATACTTCTTCAATGTTACTTTAGAAAAGATTACAAATTAGCAAGTATTTCTACCATGCGTACAATGAAAGAAAACAGAAATACAGTTATGGTTTTCAGTTATTTATGCCATCAGGAAAGGTTCTTCGGGTACTTTAAAGACTCAGAATGGATTAAAGAATATGCTTTCACAAAATCATGTTGACTTCAAAACGTGCATTGAGTGGTATCTTAAGAAAGTAAATTGGCAATGATATCCAACATCATGAAACATAGTAAGTATAGTCTAAAACAATTAAACTGAAATCAGACTAAGGACGATGATCATTCACAACATCAGTATTTGATGATATAATCATAAAATTCTTGGGTTAATGAGCACTGATAGTGGACACAAAGTATTTCTGAAGTATTGGAAGCTATGTTTGCTTAATTAAAACAGAACTTCCTGTAATTATTATTTTGTTTCAGTACAGCCTGTGCTCACCTTATGATAGACTGAAATCTATCATAAAACCAGTGAAATAAAAGAAAGGGGAGAAAAGAAACATGTAACAGATAACTGAAAGTAAACACCTAATTAACTTGGTGTGAAGGACAGAAGGCTAGTGTGCCGTCCTCGGCAGAGGATAGACAAGAGGAGACATTCGGATCTGTAGAGGGGGAACTCATAAAGATAGAGGAAGACGAAGTGAATTGGGGGGGGGAGGCGATAGAGATATGCTTAGCAGAAGACAAGGAGAGAAAGAAAGGGGAGGAGCAAGATCTGATATTATGGGAAGAGGTTATAATGGAGGGAGGAGAAGCGTGGGAATTTAGAGTGGAAACTGGGATGAAAGAGAGAAACAGGAGAGACAGTGTGGTGCAAACAGATGGTGTGGATGAACCAGCTAACAAGGTCTGTAATCTGATGAGAGAATTTCCAAATCTCAATACAGGAGGAAGATTACTACCAGACCCTGCCTCTCCTGGAGGTGATGGGAGGGTGGTGAAGCCACTAGAATGGGTGGTCATGGTTTAACCCCACAATCAAAGTGGAGGGAGGAAAATGATCCATCCCAGTCCCACCTGCAACACCCCACCCCCGGAGGGGGATTGGGCGAGGCACCTGTGCTGTTGGACAGTGTGTGTTGTGAGGAGTACCCCAATGAGGCTGATGACCGACTATGCGCACTTTGGTCCAGCCCCAATGTGAGGAGCGGAATATTTACACCAGAGTAAAAGATATTGAGTTATAGAATGATTCCAGAATTAAGCTGTTTTGATTGGTTTAATCTTGTTAACCCAGAGGCTGAGGATAATAAAGTTAAGGTTGTTGAACAGTTCAAACCGTCTCTGTCTCTCATTCCCACCAAAATGAAGGAACCGTCATCAATTTCAGAAGAACTCAATCACACTTGACTAGAACTGATAAGGGTTGGAGTCTAAAACCACATGGAGAATCACACGTTCCCCATCGTGCTTTAAGGGCTTGTAACAACTAGATGTATGGTGGCTGGCTGTATGAACAACTGAAAAATAATGTTTCTTGAGTGTGGGGAAATTCTATTTGCTATTATATAATCTTTTTTATTATTATTCCTTTAAAAATCAATTTGATTGATTTTATCTCATTATAAACGGAACTCCCCCTTGGCTGTAACACAGCTAATGAAATTAGCAAAAGCATAACCAACTGACTTCAGTCATACCTGAGGAATCATTTATATCCAGAATATACTAAATTAACAGTCCCCAGATAGAAAATACTGAGGTAGTAATTAGACTAGCTAACAATCTAGCCATCTCTAGTTCTACAGAGAAGTGAATCACAGTACTGATGAACATAGTACTTGACAGGTTCACCAGAGACAAAGGAATGAAACTGGTAACAGCATAATTAACTTCTAATCCTAAGAGATGCCTTGATCCTTCAGGAGTATTAAGAAGCTATTCCAACTGCTACAACAAACACATGAAAAAACAATGCTACTGAGTAATCTATCTTGAAATCAAAGAAAACAAATTCAATTAAGAACTCAAATTACTTTAAAATAAAAATAGTGTTCCTTGTTTACTCATACTTTTATAATATTTACCTGTTGAGATACTATATGATGCTACAGCACTACCTTCCAGATCTGCTGGGGAACTGTTTCCTTTTAAAAAGGCTGACAGTGTAACTGTTTTAGATTCAGACGACTCTGTAAAGACAGACACAGAAAACAGAAGGTCAAAAGAAAGAGTTCTTTAAAAGCTCAGACATCTCAAGGACCATGGTTATCCAGTGAGTGCCATGGCACTGGAGAGACTTAAACCTCCATCTCTCACATACCAGCCCAAGATTCTACCCAGTCTGCCATACTGGTCTTCTTAAATAAGTTTATAAATATGTATGCTTGAATGGCATAGCCACTTTAGCTATTTTTATAGAAACTCTTCTCTTTTAGTTGTTTCCAAAACTGGTAATATTACTACTTTGGGCATATTATATAAAATCTGAATTTGTATTGCCTCAGGAATTCAGTTTTGTAGCAGCAACATGAGAAGAGCTATTCATTTTCTTTAATAAGCTGCTTCTCTACACAGGCTATTCATTCTTTAAAAGAAAGGGGGAAAGGTGAACCAAAATGTTAAATCTCCAAACATACCCACTTCCTAAGAACAGAGTGCGACATATATTAACTTACAAATACTTTTGAACATTTGCTTTAAAAACTATTGGTCTTCTGCCATACAGAGAAAACAAAAATTACTTTAGATCGAAATAGAAATATTACCTAATTCCAAGACAAATTTGTTTTGGGTCAGTGCTAAAGGAGGTTCAACATGTATTGATAATTTTGTATATGTCACCAGTTTGCTCTTCACTGTAACCTTTAGATAGAAAACAAGAGAAAGATATTTATAGGAAAAAGAGCAGTTGAACAGAATACAAGAAACACAAAATAAGCAGCTTTAAATTGTTTATTTAGTAATTTTAACAAATTATTATTTCAGTATCTCCCCTAGAATGATGCAAACTTCATAAAAACAATTTTTAAAATTATTGTATATGATTCACTAACTACCATTCAGTTCTACTGCAGTGAAAACACAAGTTTATATTTTTTTTGTCTTAGCTTCTTTAATTAAATTTAGGGTTCTCTTAATTCCATCATCACTATCACACTTACATAAAACATTTAAGAGACTGCAGATCAAGTTGCTTATCTGTAATCCTTATGAGCTTCTTTGAATGATCAGTTGAGCACTCACACATACGGGTTTTGCACCGGCACAAGCCCACATTAAAGAACTTCTGAAAGCTGACCAATCAGGAGGTAGCATATCTGCACCCTGTCAGTGTTTGCTGTTCCCAGGGCATAGTCCCATTAGTTCCACTTCAGACACCTACGTAAGTGCCTTGAAATCAAGCAAGAAAAATCAAAGCGTCCTGAAACTGAAAGAGTAACATCACCAAAGTGGAAATGGAGGATGGCTTGCATGAATGTACAGATGACACTTGAGGAATCCCAGTTAAAGGCAATTTGTTCTTCACTGTTTTCTTTGTGTTTCAGATAAATAGTGACTAGCAAGCTTACTCACTAGTGGCAGGCAGTCCAAAACCAAAGTCAAAAGTGTACAACCAAATGCACTCTTAAACCATCTTGAAAGTCATTTGGTAAATGATTTCACCAACTATTTGAAAATAGGGAAGTATGTGCACATGCAGTGTGGAGGGCAGAAACAGCTACCAAAGATATCTTCAAGAAACCAAAAACACACAGAACTGATAGCAAAAATAAGGAAGCAACAGTAAATAGATCTAATTGCAGTACTGAAAAACATATGCTCCAAACTGAGTGCTGTGCACATTGTCACACAGCAATAGCTCTTTACAATGGAGGCTCTCATATTTTTGCTTAGATTTACTGTATCTTTGAAGCAGCCACTCTCATGCACTTTAAACCTGGCAGATCCAAGGCTGAAAAAGCCTATCTAAAGCAGGAAGTGAGAGCCAGCAAAGGAAAAAGAGGAGGCAATGACACTGGTATTGACACAGGTAGAGGAAGGATCTGGTAAAATGACAGGTTACCTACCTGTAATTGTAGTTCTTTGAGTGGACCTCTGTGATTCACACTATGGGTGATCCACACATGCGTGGAGCCTTGTTGGAATATTCTAGAGCTTTGCAGTAGCAAAAAGATACATTAGTGCAGACCCCTTCCCCTGGTATATGTATCTTGGTGTCAAGCTCTCCCTTCAGTTAGGTCAACCACTGCGTAAAGAAAAGGGTGTGACAGTGGGATGTGGGAATCACAGAGATCCACTCGAAGAACTACAGTTACAGTTAGGTAACCTTCTTCTTCGTGGCCTCTGTGAATCACACTATGGGTGATTAACAAGCTACCTTACTCGGAGGAGGGTGTCACACCAAGGTAGATGATAATACAGCACACCCAAAAGCAGCATCAGATTTCTGCCAAATGTTCAATTGATAGTGACTGATAAAACACAAATGGCAGTGGCCATGTGGCAGAGGCACAGACATCAGCGAGGGGGACCCCTTGGAGAAACGCTGTAGATGTCGCCAACACCCTGGTGGAATGAGGGTGGATAATCTGTGGCGCTGGAACTTGAGTGAGCTCATAAGCACACTGGATGGTAGACACAACCCACTCGGATATTTTTTGTGAGTTAACTTGGGAGACCCTTGGCACGAAGTTGGTAAATGACAAAAAGTCTAGTTGAGCGTCTGAAGGATTGAGTGCGGGCTATATAGAAAGCCTGAGCCTGTCGTACGTCCACTGTATAGAGAATCCTTTCTTGAGGATTACAGAGATGGAAAAAAAGATGCAAAAACCAAAGTTTGGGATAGGTGAAAGTGGGAGACAACCTTGGGCAGGAAAGAAATCTCTACAAAGAGTTTGACTTTATCTGGGTAAAACTGAAGATAAGGGTAATCAGACCTCAAGGCTGCTAGTTCACTAGCACAGCGAGCTGATGTGATAGCTACAAGGAACACCACCTGAAAGGTAAGTAATCTGAGGTCTGTTGAGGCAAGGGGCTCAACCTTGAAAGCTGCTGAAGGACTAACATAGCTGTCGGAGAGGCTGGTGGCTGATAAGCCACAATTTCCGAAAGATAGACTTTGAGGGACAAAAGAGAAAGGTTCTTAGTTTTTAGTTGCAATAGAAAACAAAGGCCAGTGGTAAGAGAAGTGTTGGTTGAAGGTAGTGACGATGCTGCAGTGAAAGATAGGAATTTTTTCCTTTTATACATGTAGGATTTCCTAGTTGAGGGTTTCTTCGCATAATGAAAGACATTCATCAGGGACACAGAATTCTCCATGCTGCAAGATGAAGGGCAGAGAGATCTTGATGGAGAATTTGATTTTTGATTTATGTAAGCAGGTAAGGCAGGCACGGCAGGTGATAAATGTTGTACGACAGCCAGTGGAGAATCGGGAACCATGGCTGTCACTGCCACCACGGAGCTATCATGATAGCATTGGCCTGTCCTACTGAAGGCGGACTGCAACCTTGTGGAGGAGTGAGAACAGTGGAAAAAGGTAAGTGAGTGATTTGGGCCAACAGCCGACATGCGTTGCTGCAGAAGTTCTTGCCGACTCCTGCGTGGGAGCAGTAACATGGGTGTGCCCCAGTGTGTGCACAGGGAGAGAGAAACATACTGATCTAGTTCCCATTTGTTGGCTTGAGATTCTTTGCGACTGAGCAAATCTGCCAGATTGTTGTTCTAACCGGCTATATGTATTGCCATGAGATAAATGTGATGGGAGAGGCACCATTCCCACAGGTCAACAGCAAGATATAGCAAAGCAAAGCGTGCTGCTTATATACCACCCCATAGGGCTTCAAGCACTCTCTGGGCGGTTTACAAGTTAATTATGCAGGCTACACATTGCCCCCCAGCAAGCTGGGTACTCATTTTACCGACCTCGGAAGGATAGAAGGCTGAATCAACCTTGAGCTGGCTACCTGGGATTGAACCCCAGGTCGTGAGCACAGTTTTGGCTGCAGTACAGTGGTTTAACCACTGTGCCAGAGTGAGTGCTCCCTTTTTGAGAATATAATACATTGTGGTGGCGTTGTCTGAGGCTATTTGGACCATTTTGATGGTTCTTGAAAGCCTTGTGGGCTTTTATTACTGCTAAGAGTTCTAGCTCATTGATATGGAGCAACCTTTCTCTTCGCGACCACTGGGCATGGATTTGTAGTGATCGGCAGTGGGCACCCCAACTGGTGAGGCTGCCATCTGTGGTGACTTGGATTTGTGGACGGGGTTGTTGAAAAGGTCATCTCATCATCAGGTTTTGAGTGGAGTATCACCATGAAAGCTGGGAGGCAAGTTCTGGAGTGACTCGCAGCAGGGTATGCGTGGGTCTGTCAATGGGTTGAATAAGGCCAAGCACCATGCTTGAAGTGATCTCATTTTGAGGTGAACATGCTGAACTACAGCGGTCATCGAGGCCATAGTGCCTAAGACACGTTGGACCGTTAAAGCAGATACAAGCACGTGAGCAGTGAAGGCACGGAGTAAAGAAGTTAAATTGAGACGTCTGTCTGTTGGAAGAAACGCTTGAGCATGTTTGGAGTCTATAATTGCTCCTATATAAGAGATAAGTCCTGTAGGCTTTAATTTGGATTTTTACAGGTTTACTGCAAGGCTGAGATCTTGGAGGAGAGATGAAGCGTATGTTTCGCTGTGCTTTGTGAGAGGAGTGTGCTATGAGAAGCCAATCCTCAATGTACCGAAAGATGTGAATTTTGTGAAGCCTGAGGTATGCTGACACAGGGTAATCAACCCTGAGTGCTCACTGGAAGGACAGATCCTGAAGCTGAGGCTTCAATACTTTGGCCATCTAATGAGAAGGGAAGACTCCCTGGAAAAGCCCCTGATGTTGGGAAAGAGTGTAGGCAAGAGGAGAAGGGGACGACAGAGGATGAGATGGTTGGACAGTGTCATCGAAGCAACCAACATGAATCTGACCAAACTCCGGGAGGCAGTGGGAGACAGGAGGGCCTGGGGTGCTCTGGTCCATGGGGTGATGAAGAGTCAGACACGACTTAATGACTAAACAACAACAAAAATGCAGTGTTTAAATGGGCCTGAAGAGGCCATGAACTGAGAACCGGGAGAAAGAAAGGGGGGGCACTCCGGCCCTAAGGCCGGAGTGTACTTGTTTTGATGATGATGATGATGATGATGATGATGATGATGATGATAATAATAATAATAATAAGAAGAAGAAGAAGAAGAAGAACAAGAACAAGAAGAACAAGAACAAGAAGAACAAGAACAAGAACAAGAACAAGAAGAACAAGAATAAGAAGAAAAAGAAGAAAAGGAGGAGGAGGCGGAGGAGGAGGAGAAGGCGGAGGAAGATTGGTAAAGAAAGAAAATTTTAAAATAATAAGTAACTTTCTTTTGCTTTCAGAAAAAGACTCACAGAAGCAACGATCGAGGCTTTCAACGCGGCGGTTGAAAGGAAACTGAAGGGAGAGCCTTGGTGCCAAGTTATATATACCAGCGGGGAGAGGCCTGCACTAATGTATCTTTTTGCTACCGCAGAAGCACTAGAATATTCTGATGAGGCTCTGTGCATGCACGGCTCACCCATAGTGTGATTCACAGAGGCCATGAAGAAGAACATAGGGCCATAAATGGAAGGGAAAGTATCCAATCTATACCTTGACTTCATAGTTTTCCTCTTTGGTAGGTTCTGCCAAGACAGTCTCAGTAATTAGTAATGAATGTGTCAGTAACGCAGCAATTCCAGTAGAAATAGTGGAGAAGCTGAGAAGGCAGCAGGAAAAATAGGAATGGATGGGAGATTTAAGAAGGCCAACTGACAACTTAGATTATCTTGTATTCTTCTGCTGTAGGATAGATATGTCCTCAATCCAAGTGACATGTCCTTAATCCAAGTGACAAATTATGAATAAAGAGTCTTTGTTGCTGGCACCACTTCCTCAAGTGCCTTCTCTCCAAGACAGCTTACAAATGCAGTGACCAAATTACACCTTGCCTCCTTGGTTAATACATGACACAATTTGCAGAAGTCAACTTTCTGATCCTCATTTAAACACAAAAGGCTAAGGGATTATTTGTCCAAGGGAAGCGATTTACTGTCTCATCAGACACTTTTACACAATGTGGTCATAAACTCCAAGACTAAAACAGAGAAAAAGAAAGGAAGAATGTTTACGAGAGATGCAAGAAAGAAGCAGGAGAGGCAGAAACAATGTATTTGGCACTCAGCACAGCTTTCTTCCTAAAGAAAAATATGTATGAAGTGCTTAAAAAATGTTCAATTTGGCAGCTGAGAAAAAAATGAGTGTGAATAGCAGGAAAATACACTGGGGACATGCACACTTTGACAGATGAGTGCAGATTTCTTCTTATCACTCAACTTGTTAGGCTCCTGAATGAGGTCCTAATATAGGAACAAAACTGGTACATGTGGTACACAGAGAACTACAGCAATTTAATAGCAATTCACTGTCTCAGACACATTACATATAATAGTTAGATCACAGATATATAGAGCACATGGTGTCTGTTTAGTTTCTTAAGACAGCATAATACTCTCCTTTTTAATTACTGTTTGATTTTTTATACATGCTTAAACAGGTGCCTCTTTGAAGATTATTATATTTAAGTAAGTTCCATTCACATACGTTTTAGGAAGTGGATAATAAAGCTATGTCATAACTGACAGTACAGTGGTGCCTCGCTTAACGGGTGCCCCGTTTAACGACGAATCCGCATACCGACGATTTTTTTGCGATCGCAAAAGCAATCACATTGTGATGTTTTTAATGGGAAAATATCGCTTTGCGATGATCGGTAAGCTGTTTCTCTTACCGATTTTCACATAGTGATGATTTTCCAACAGCTGAGCGGCGGTTCCAAAATGGCCGCCGGGTAAATAAAATGGCCACCCGCTGTGTTTTTGCCCAGAGTCCTCGCTTACCGGGCAGCAAAAATGGTGGCCGTATGGAGGATTTTCGCATTAAGGTGAGTTTTTTTGCCCATAGGAACACATTAAACGGGTTTTAATGCATTCCTATGGGCTTTTTTTATTTCGCATAGCGACGAATCTGTATAGTGACGATTTTTGCTGCATGGATTATCGTCGCTATGCGGGGCACCACTGTACTTTCGAGTCTTACACTCTGTGTTGTATTCAGAACAAGGTATACCTTAATTGTTACTGAAGGAACTACATCTCCTCTTACTTCACTGTCAATGGCTTGCTGAAAAGAAATACAACAGTATGTTTAATATGAGACAGCAAAATTTGAAGTAATGAAACAAAGATTACGATGCACAAAAATGATGTGGATTTTATTAAAAAACTGTTTAATATATCCATTAAAAGAAGACAGAAAATGATTTTAAGTTTTCAATAATTTTATAAGAATCATAGATAGACAAAAGTATTCTTCACTCAGACACTGCTAAACCATGAAATTCATTGTAACAGACAACTTTCTAGCTTTAAAACACCTTGCAAATCCATGAAGGTTAGTGTTCAAACTTAGTTTAAGGCCACCAGTGTGGTTATATATACCAGCTGCAGTATCAAAGACAGTAAGCCTCTTGTTCACAAGTGTCACACAGAGAATGCTCCTGATAGTATTTGTTCCTGATTGCACATTGGTGTGATTAAAGATGGATCCCAGTCCCTGAAGCATCATGTTAGGGTGTTCCTAAACACAGAAACTCTAATTGCCAGTAGTTTGGGACAGAGTACCCACAGACTTCTCCACAAGACAGAACAATTTCCCATGCCTAGTTTAGGTAGCAATGGTCACCCTTCTACCTCTAGAGCAGTAACAGTGAAAAAGAACGAGTGATAATCATATTTCCCTAAAGACTGCTTCTTCTTTACTGTTTGCAACATGCACACAGACATGAATTAGCCATTTCCAGTACAGTATAAGTCTAAGTGCATGCACTGTATCTATCTGAGTAAAGAAGTAAAAACACATGACAATGCAAAAGCATGGTTTGATTATTTGTTTCATTCAGGTGCAGACTTGTGGCATAAATTTGATTCAGGGCTTGAGACTGGGCAAGCAGATCTCCTTGATTCCTTTTTCACGCCCCATTTTCACTCCTTGAGGGAAAGAGTGGCTACTAGAAGTAGACCTTGCCTTTACTAATGGACTTGATTGGATCTGGGCAGACAAAGGCAGTACAAAGCATTTTTTAATAAATAAGATTAATTCCTATGCTATCTTATGCCTATAAATTCGGGAATAATTTTCAATGTTTGGTGAAGTTTACTCACAGAAAACCCCTTCATGGATTGCTGCCTTGTCGTGGCGAAGGGGCTTGAGTAACTCAGAGAAGCTATGGGCTATGCCGTGCAGGGCCACCCAAGACGGACAGGTCACAGTGGAGAGTTCTGACTAAACGCAATCCACCTGGAGTAGTAATTGGCAAGCCACTCCAGTATCTTTGCCAAGAATACCCCATGATCAGAAACAAAAGGCTATAAGATATGACACTGGAGGATGGGCCCCTCAGGTTGGAATGCGTCCAACATGCTACTGAGGAAGAGCGGAGGACAAGTACAAGCAGCTCCAGAGCTAATGAAGTGGTTGGGCCAAAGCCGAAAGGACACTCAGCTGTGGACGTGCCTAGGAGTGAAAGGAAACTCCGATGGTGCAAAGAAAAATACTGCATAGGACCCTGGAATGTAAGATCTATAAACCTTGGGAATCTAGAGGTGGTCAAACAGGAGATGGGTAGAATAAACATCGACATCCTGGGCATCAGTGAACTAAAAAGGGCAGGGATGGGCAAATTCAACTCAGATGATTATCATATCTACTATTGTGGGCAAGAATCCCGTAGAAGGAATGGAGTAGCCCTCATAGTCAACAAAAGAGTGGGAAAAGCTGTAATGGGATATAATCTCAAAAATGATAGAATGATGTCAATACGAATCCAAGGCAGACCATTCAACATCACAATAATCCAAGTTTATGCACCAACCAGCATTGCTGAGGAGACTGAAATTGAACAATTCTATGAAGATTTACAACACCTTCTAGAACTGACACCAAAGAAAGATGTTCTTCTCATTCTAGGGGACTGGAATGCTAAAGTAGGAACCAAAGAAAAAAAAGGAACAACAGGAAGTTTGGCCTTGGAGTTCAGAACGAAGCAGGACAAAGGCTAATAGAGTTTTGTCAAGAGAATAAGCTGGTCATCACAAACACTCTTTTCCAACAACACAAGAGGCGACTCTATACATGGAAATCACCAGATGGGCAATATCGAAATCAGATTGATTATATTCTCTGCAGCCAAAGATGGAGAAGCTCTATACAGTCAGCAAAAACAAGACCTGGAGCTGACTGCGGCTCTGATCATCAGCTTCTCATAGCAAAATTCAAGCTTAGACTGAAGAGAGTAGGAAAAACCACTGGGCCACTCAGGTATAATCTAAACCAAATCCCTTATGAATACACAGTGGAAGTAAAGAACAGATTTAAGGAACTAGATTTGGTGGACAGAGTGCCTGAAGAACTTTGGATAGAGGCTCGTAACATTGTCCAGGAGGCAGCAACAAAAACCATCCCAAAGAAAAGGAAATGCAAGAAAGCAAAGTGGCTGTCCAACGAGGCCTTAGAAATAGCAGAGAGGAGAAGGGAAACAAAATGCAAGGGAGATAGGGAAAGTTACAGAAAATTGAATGCAGACTTCCAAAGAATAGCAAGGAGAGACAAGAGGGCCTTCTTAAATGAACAATGCAAAGAAATAGAGGAAGATAACAGAAAAGGAAAGACCAGAGAGCTCTCCCCGAACTACCCAGACAATGTAGTTGCTGACCATGTAGTTGAGCCAGACATCCTGGAGAGTGAAGTCAAGTGGGCCTCAGCAAGCCTGGCTAACAACAAGGCCACTGGAAGCGAGGCCATTCAGTTGAACTATTTAAAATCTTAAAAGATGATGCTGTTAAGGTGCTACATTCAATAGGCCAGCAAGTTTGGAAAAC